ATAAATAAAGCGATTTTTCTGTTTTGCATATCATTAAATATACTAAATAAATTAGATATTTGTTTAAATGTATACTACAACGTTTCTGCAATCGACTGTATATATATACATATATATAAGTACATATATGAAAAAGTAAAATTTATTTAATCCCACTTCGAATAGTGAAATAAAATATTTCATGAGTGAGCGCAGCGAGCGAGTGACTTGAATATATATATTTTAAAACAGTGGACTCTATCCCTTCAGGGGGTTTAAGAAGTTCATTTATTCATTTCGATATTCATTCATTCATTTATTCATCGGCGAGGGCCACCTGAAAATTATCTTTGTAGGTGACGAAGTTCATGTTAGCACTATTGTGTTCATTTTCGAATTCATCATTTATCAGTTTATTCTTTCTTCTTTTTTTTCTTTTTTCTTTTTCTTTTTTCTTTTTTTCTGTTTCACTTTTTTTCCTTCTGTTTTATTTGCCAAATGAACCTTTTCACAACAAATTCCGTAACCCGGTGTCTTTTCTTCGCTCGTCGCACGTCGCTCTTTGCCTTTCTTCCTTCAAAATACTATTCAACTGTCTATTTACCTATCGGCCTATTTTCAACACTATGATCGCCTCTTCAGCAATTGTATCTACTCTTCATGTGGCTTTTAAAAAAATGAACTAGAAAAACCAGCTACTGAATGACGGCTAATTGCTCCTTTTCAAAAACGTCTACTTACCTTTGTCTTTAAAATGAAAATGTCTCAAAACATCTAAGGTGAAGGCCCAAATACTAACACAAGTTGAGAGTGGCGGGAGTGTACTGGACTGTATTTTGTCGTAAAACTGCGTTTACCTCGTGGGAGAAGAGAACAAAACTGCGATAAATGTTACGGTGTGTCGTAAAATGTATGTGAAATGTTTCAGTACCCGTCTACGTTTCCGCACACTGAAAAAAACGCTCAACGTCCTCTCTCWCACATTTGCAGTATTTTATAATATGGTAATTTAAAAACGTATTGAGATTATTAGATATGTCAACATACTGTCTGCGAGTTTTGTCCTCAATTTAACTAATGGACATTGCTGCGATATTTGTAGGTGGTTACCCGATCCACTTATTTGTTTAACCAATTTGCCTACTCGTCATTCTCACGTCAACCATTTACTGAGGAGCTT